ACAACTGACGCTTTACCTTTAACGTCACTTAAAGGAAACCTTTAACGCTTTACCTTTAACGGGGTAAGTTTAGGTTTAGGATCCGATAACGTCATCTAACCGACGTTAAAGGGTACCCTAAAACGGCGGATGTTTACGTATGGTCAAAAGACGTCCCAAGACGTCAGTTATATGACGTCTTGGGATGAGACTGCGCTGATTGAGCTTATTTCTTCAAAAATTTAAAAACTAAAAGTCATTTCTAACCGTTTCTGTTATAATGCGCTACTCCACACATGATTATAACTTATTTTTACGATCAGCACAATGCATGATGGTATGTAGGGCTTGGGGTAGTGACCATTGGTTGTACACTACTTTTCACAATGCATTCTGGGATACATTGAGTGGACTATTGGGTATAATAATCATCACTATACATTCGGACAGCACTACAAAATGGCGAGCTCACTATATAGTCCACTATATAGAGTAGTGGTTGATTTCGAACACAGCAGTCTATTCATTTAAACCCACAATGTAATATCAAAGTTAGCATTTTAATCAACAGTACATTTTTTGTTAACCTTTTCCTATATGTCTTGGAGTTTTGCTATAATATCGTATCGTGAGTTCAGTATCGTGATATGTATCGAATCGTGACATGAGGTATCGTTACACCCCTACCCTGGTATATCCGATTTTCTCACCCTCCAACACATTCTCATCCCAAAAAGTCATATAACTGACGTTATGGGGCGTCTTTTGACCAAACGTCAATATTCGCCTTTTTAGGGTACCCTTAAACTTCGGTAGATGGCGATCCCGGGCCGTCATACAGCTGACGCTTTACCTTTAACGTCAGTTAGGTGACGGGTTAGGTTTAGGGTTAGGTTTAGGTCTGGGGTAGAGTTAGGATCCCATAACCTCATCTACCGACGTTTAAGGGGGCCCTAAAAAGGCGAATATTGACGTATGGTCAAAAGACGTCCCAAAACGTCAGTTATATGACTTACATGTCAGTTACATGTAATTCCAAATCTGGGAGACTTTATTTTGTTTTCTAAGGAACACAAAATATATTTTGAAGAATGTTCTAAGTACAAGAAACTACTTACAAGAAAATGCTATTTCAGATTTTCAACTTCAAAATTACTTTTAATTTTAGGTGTTTTGATATTTATTAGGGCCCGAGCACTAACAGTACGAGGACCCTATTGAAACTGTTAGGATTATTTTTTTTTTTCTTTTTTCTGCAAAGTAAGCGCCATTTTCGGGGCCGCAACATGCTCAAAAAGTCACCAAATTTGGCACGCATGTCAGGACAGGTGAAAAATTTCGTATTTTGTGGGTTTCGCAGATGGGCGTGGCAAAATGGCACGCTAGCGCCACCTAGAAAATTGGAAAAAATTAGCCCCTCGTCCACGTTCAACCTACATGCACGAAATTTGGTGGGGACGTGTATCATATCAAGATGCACAAAAAAGCCTCAAGAACCCATACCCTAAACTCGACAGGAAGTCCACCATTTTGAATTTGGCGGCCATTTTTGGACGATTTACACACTCCGTACTTTAACAAACTCCTCCTAGGGATTTAGTCGGATCGACTTCAAATTTCTGCTGTGCCTTCTAAAGGCATTGACGATGTGAAGTTGTGCTATCTGCGCGTTTTCATCGATGGGCGTGTCCGTGGCGTCGAAGATTCGCCATGAAACAGGAAGTTGTAGTAACTTGGCTGTAAATGCCCAGATCTGCACGAAATTTGACACATTTGACAAGAGTCCCGCTCTGAACAAATCTACATGCCGACATTCACCCTAAGTCATAGCGCCACCTGCTGGCAACAGGAAGTGACCTTTAACGAAGCAGCCCCCACTGCGTGTTTGACCGACATGTACGAAATTTTTGTGGTACATCTACCATGTCCAGACGCACAGAAAAGTCTCTTAGAGCGATGCCCTAAAATCAACAGGAAGTCGGCCATTTCTAATTTTACCGCCATTTTTGGATGATTTACTCATTACGTACTTTAACGAACTCCTCCTAGGGATTTAGTCGGATCGACTTCACATTTCTGCTGTGCCTTCTAAAGGCATTGACGATGTAAAGTTGTGCTATCTGCGCGTTTTCGTCGATGGGCGTGTCCGTGGCGTCGATGATTCGCCATGAAACAGGAAGTTGTAGTAACTTGGCTGTAAAAGCCCAGATATGCATGAAATTTTACACCTTTGACAAGAGTCCCGCCCTGAACAAATCTACATGCCGACATTCACCCACAGTCATAGCGCCACCTGCTGGCAACAGGAAGTGACCTTTAACGAAGCAGCGTAGCAAATGCACATCCGCACTGGCTGAGCTTCAGAAAATGCAACACGGCCGCCTCAGACCCCGACGTGCTACAGGTGCGAGGGCCCGCCCATCGCTGCTTGCAGCTTTAATTTGTATTTGTATTTGTATTGTATTTTTTTTTTTTTTGTAGTGTTTGGACATAAAAACAAACTTTTTCAGAAGATCTTTCATGTTCTACACAAGAAAGAATTACACATTTGCACGACATGAAAATTTACACAAATATATAAACATAATTTACATAAAATAATTTTAATTTACATAATTAAAATCATAATTTACACACAATTTGTGATACATGAATACAGTGGTTTATACACTGGTTTATATGGGAATTTTTAGGCAACGGCTATTGACACTATATATTGGCAAATAGCAATAGATTATATTTACACTATGTAAAAGATATATGGACACTGCTAATAATGCAGCGTCTACCATAATTTTGTCTGGCCCAACCAGACGTCGGTGGGCAGAATTATTGTAAATAACCTCTACCAACAAGGCGGGCTACTTGCACTTAGTGTAAATAGACATTTACAGAGGCTGATATCCTTGGCAGGATACTAACTATCAAACTATATGCAACCGACTGAGACACTCCAAGACAGTGTTTTTAAGTAAATGTGATTCCATATAAAATATGACAGCCTGTCATTTTATTTATGCATATTTTGGGGTGGGGGGGGGGGGGGGGGTTCAGTATATAATTCATTGTCTGTATGGCAGGCAAGATTTATGTTGAAATGAAATTTTGTGGACCGGGAAGGAACGATGCAGTCAATCATTGACATTTAGAAGATAAAAAAAATACATGTAAAAGACATCTGGAAAGTCACTAAAAGGGCTCTTCGCAACATGATACGATGGAACTCGGATACTAGGATCAATTTGTTTTCAATACGGCGGGAGACACTCTCATTTTTCAATGTTCACCGATTATAATTCTCTGCCCTTCCTTGTCATTTCATCTAACGATCGCAAATTGACTGTCAAATCATTCGGGTCCTAATAAGTGTGTGGAGTTTTCCCTCCCACTGGATTTAGGCCTACGTCTAGCTGTTCCCTCACTGTTAGTCGGCCACTATTTAAATATCATGTCGCGTTTACAGTAATCTGGCCCTAATTAAAATGTATAGTCTGACAGAGTGCAGTCTCGGCACATTCTGTGCGTCTTGCACACCCGTGAGCGAACAGTTAATGAATGCTACGCTTGGAGCGAGGGAGAGAGAAGCTGTGTCCGAAAAACATGGCTGAATGCTTTCACTGGCAGTTACGGTAGTAGGAAAGCAAGACATAAGTGTGTATATGTGCTTAAATCTCTAAGCTTACTTGAATGTGTTGTACATTATTAGATATGACGTTATTGGAAGACTGTCTGAAAGCAGTTACCTTAGAAGGTGCTTTCATACAAAGACGCTGCTTGTCATATCAATGACTAACCGGGCAGCGAGACAGCTGTCTTTGGTTTTCAAACAGAGAAAGAAAGAGAGATTCCTTTAAGTCACCTCAAAACAATAGTATACATCTGGATGTAATATTTATAACATAGTCTGAAAGAGACTGCAAAAAAGAGATGAATTCTTAGAAGAAATAATTTTCTAGATTTATTTTGAATTTTGGTTTTATTTTATGAATTAAATTGTATTAATTAAATGGAGAATACATGAACATTTTATGTGATTATTACATTTCTCCATATTGGCTGTATAATGGCTTTGGCATAAAATAGAACCCTATATAACTTTTGGTTACACTTTATTTCAAGGTCACAGTGTAATTATACATTTCAGTACGGAGTAATATTAAGCAATGCACTATACTGTAGGGTTAGGGTAGGATTATGATTTGGTTAGGGTTAGATGCATGTCATTTACATGTACATACCATAGTAACAACAGTAAATTATGCCTAAGTAACAAGGACACTGTAAAATAGCGTTACCGAACTTGAAATTGGCGATAAGGTAAAACTAATTAATCTGGGTGTGTTTGTGGAATCAAATGGAATGTTGTGGAATGTTTCTGACTCAAATTATTCATTGCCTCTTTTATGATATGCTCTGAACTAGGAAGTCAACATTTTCACTGAAAAACGATATAGAGACTGGACATAAACATTGTATTTTGCATAAAAAAAAACACACAAAAAAAAACCCCACTTGCTCCACCAACACTTTCAATATGTTATTATTTTACGTTTTGGCAAATTGGTGGCTAATTCCTCATTATGGTTTAGGCGGTGGGGTTATATATATATATATATATATATATATATATATATATATATTCTACATTTCATTTTCGTACAAATCACATTACAAATTCACCTCATTAAATAAGCAACTTAATTTTCTCACGAGTATAAATACAAGAAAAGAAGGAATCAATGAGGGGATACATAAAAAAAAGTTATTTACAATAATTTAATTTATAATAACATTGACATTAAATGATCAAAAGTAAACATATCAACAAGAAAAAACAAGCTCGTATCCTTAAACAGAGTTGAGGAACTTAAAATGTGTGTCATTCCACCCCAGTCTGTAATCTCTTTACTCAGGACAGTGTGGGAGGAGAGAGAGGAAGAGTGAGAGAGAGGGAGAGAGAGAGAGAGAGAGAGAGAGAGAGAGAGAGAGAGAGAGAGAGAGAGAGAGAGAGAGAGAGAGAGAGAGAGAGAGGACGGAGGTGTGCAGAGAACAGATCATTACCAGCGCAGTTTTGCTCTGTAAACATCTCTCGGAGATAAATCGACGAACTCTTGTTCTTTCGGTTTCTCGAAGTATATGATGATATGATACGCGGTGACGTGGATGTATTTTTGGATTTTTTTCAGCGAGTTTATCGACCCCTGGAGAAAGTGGATTTTGCAAATGTGAATTTGATGTAAATTAAAGGTTTAAACGAGGGTTCAATCGTGGAAAGGGGCACTGAGGGAATCACTTCGGCAAAAAGTACACGGGAGTCAGTATGCTGTCCGGAGGAGCCGCGGGCGGAGAGGAGCTCGGAACCGATTCGGTAGAACAGCATGTTGTGGGAATGGCGTTGGATCTTTACGTCCCAGCAATTTCACCGAGCGCATGAAGAACAAGGATAGGGGGACAAGTGTTCTGTGTGCTTGAAATATACGAATAAAACCATGTTTTATAAGGTAGGCTGATTTTAATGGAGACAGTTTAATTATAGTGGTGGGTCCGGTCCGTTAACCCGTCTAAATCCAGGAATAGGTTATAGTTGACATCCACATGTTAAGTTAAAACTGTTGGTCTTCATGGACATGAATGACTAGCCTACTTGTAAGTTACATCGCCCTTATTATAGTTTCCAGGCATTTCTTCCGAAACTATTCTGCTTAACTATGGCTTTTACTTTCTGCAAACTGCTGCTTCCATAGGTTGGCATCATTTCAACAACTCAAATAATATGTTTAGGGTCAATAGTGGATAACTAAAGCGGTGTATCTGGTCAAACAGCAATGCGCGTAATAGCACCGTTTCTTTGCGCTCGGCGCTCAGAACCATCGGGTTATTCTTTTACATCAACAGTTCACCTGATCTGCCTCGAAATGTTTCCTACGATGCAAACTTTTAGTGTTGTACTGTATTTGCTCTTTTTTTCTTTCTTTTTGTGAATCTGCAATTGTTTTCTCAAGATACATTAGCCTACATTTAGCTTTTGTCAGAAATTCACCATAAAAATGTGACGTTTTAGCCATTAGAGATGGTATTTTGGTGTCTGCATAGTTTGCAGTTCTTAACGTATATATTCTAAACTGTAGACTATTATTTTCTTAACTGATATATAGTATAGCAACCAATTGACAACTATATGCTAATTTGTTCTATTTAAGCACGTATTAATAAAGGTTGTAAAATGGAAGACAATGAACCAACGTTTAGAAAAAAAAAGGCCTTTCCATGAACAATAGTCAAAACACATACAATATACATTGTGCATGTGTGCAGATACGCATAACACCATCGGGTAACCCATGACATGAATAATTCATTGAACTGTAACATACAATGAGTAACATAACATATTATTAGAGTAAGAATACATACAAATACTAAATTATTAACTGTTTTACTTGGTGAATCATATTTTAATATGTATACTTTGATTCATACTTTAAAAAAATGTTTTAATAAGTGTATTGTCTTGATTTTTTTTTACTTCAAAAATCATACATATAATTTTACACTAAAACTACATGTATTCTCAAAATCAAATATACTTTTTTACTGTATAAGGGAACTTACAGGTAACCAATAACACTTTTACTGTCACAGTTTTTTACAAGCATGCACTTTATTTTTTACAGTGCAAGTTATAGTTTGCTGTAAACATCTTTATACTCACAATATGCATTTTAATGCAAATTCAAACATAAATTTGGTTTTGTTTTCTGGTAATGGATCTTATTTAAATCACATCTGTCACAGCTTGCTCCTTAGTAAAGATAAGTGATCTCTTGCCAGGCATCGATTGTCTTAACTCTGTTAACAAAGCAGATGGTCAGGTCACAAAAGGAGCAGTCCAATGCAAAGATGTTTTCTGGAGGCTCAGAATGCCAATAATTATGTTATTTTACAGTAACAATGAACATATAAAAAAGGACTGACAGAAAAGTTTTAAGTTACAGTTTTATGCATTTGAAATGTAAATGCCAGGCACAAAGCCTGCTTTCTATGTTATAAGAAAATTATATTATATACCCCAGGTTATGCACAAAAATAAAAAATAAAAAAATGAACCCTTTCCCCAGTGTTGATTAAAGGGCAGCAGCTGCCATGGACAATTATAAAGAATTTTATTATGACGAAAAACAGTGCACAATCAGCTGACTTTGATTTTTTAAAATTTATTTAAATCACTCAGAAATGAGAATACAGTCTGAATAGTAGATTCTGAGATCTTGAGCTAACATAAAACCTCTTTGCTGAGAAAAGAAATCAAAAACTAAAAAAAAAACACAACAACATATTGATCATTTATTGCAGGTAGAGAGGCTAAATTATAATCCGATCCCATTTAATTTGACAGGCAGCATTTGTCACTCTGAGCTGTGTAGAACACACCTTCTCCCTCAACTCATCCCCCCCCCCCCCCCTTTGAGCTATGCTCACGTGGGACCTGCATATCCTATGATTTACAATGAAGACACCATACAGTAAACAGAGAATATTCCAAAAGCAGTAGTCATGCACTTGGAAATACCTTTAATAAACACAAAAGTTATGTGCAACCACATCACCTTCATGCGTTGTTAAGTTATTTCCCCCTTTATTTTATATATTTATTGAAATTTGTGAAATAAATCCCATTTATGCAGTTTTATACCATGCTCTTGAGATTTAACCCCTTACAAAGCATGCATTTGAAGTTTTCTAAATTATTATAATTTTAGTGCATTTTATGGAGTCAGTGAACAACGTTTATTGGCGTACTATGCTTTTGTTGTTAACTTCTCCTGTTGTTCTAATTTCTCCTTCTTTTGAAACAGGTCTCTGGACACAAATGTCACATCTTCCGGAAACAGCCGGGGCTGGGGCCCATCAGCACTTGACAGCAGGCTGGGAGGTGGACGGTGTGGCACAGTGCTTCAGCACTCTCTCAGTCACACCCTGCATGGGCCCTACATTGAGTTAGAGCAGTTCTGCAAAGATCTGATTCCTCAACATGGATGGCTTAAGCGAGAGAACCCATGCACTCTAATGAGACCATCTCCAGACAAGGACTAGAAATTGTCAAGGGATTACTCCTTAAATTCCTGGTTATCTGCAAACCGCACATTAGAATAATCTTTTAAAGGACTTCATTTGGCTGGATTTGCAACATTTCCTTTTTACTCCCTCGACCACTGATGTTGTCTTGCCATTTCCGTTCCCTCCCTTCATTTTTCACTATGGAGTTTCAAGCTGGATTTTGGAATAACGATTGGACTTCATTTCTGCGTTTTTGGTTGACAGTGTTGTTGAGCTTGCATGTGCAGTTCAGCCCTGTCTCCTCCTGTCCCGAGGAGTGCCGCTGCGATCTAACATTTGTTTACTGTAATGAGAGAAGCCTGACGTCTGTGCCTCTGGGGGTGCAAGAGGGATATAAGACCCTCTTCCTCCACAACAATCAGATCAACAATGCCGGCTTTCCGTTGGAGCTACACAATGTTGCCTCTGTAGATACCGTTTACCTATATGGAAATCAGCTGGATGAATTTCCACTCAACCTTCCCAAGAACGTCCGAGTGCTGCACCTTCAGGAAAACAACATCCAGACTATCTCGAGGGCAGCACTTGCCCAGCTTCCCATGCTGGAGGAACTCCACCTGGATGACAACTCCATCTCGACTGTAGGGGTAGAGGAGGGGGCTTTCAGAGAGGCTCTCAGCCTCAAGCTTCTTTTCCTCACCAAAAACCACCTGAGCAGCATTCCTATCGGATTACCAGAAGATCTCAAGGAGCTGCGTTTGGATGAGAATCGCATTGCAGACATTGACGAGGATGCTTTCCAGAATGTCACTACACTGCAGCGACTGTTGCTGGATGGGAATTTGCTTGAGGATGAGGCCATTGCTCCGGGAACCTTCCAGGATCTTGTCAACCTCAAAGAATTGTCCCTAGCTCGCAACTCCCTCACCACCCCACCACCGTTGCTCCCTACTGCATCCCTGACCAAGCTCAACCTGCAGGAAAACCAGATGGACATCATTAAAGTGACGTCCTTCGCTGGGCTTAGTAAACTGGAGAAGTTAGATATCTCTAGCAACCAGCTACAATTTCTTCCAGCGGGTGTCTTTGACGGTTTGAGAAACCTGAGGCACCTTAACGCAAGAAACAACCACTGGCGTTGTGATTGCAGCATTAAGTGGGTCATTGCATGGCTCAGGTCTCTGCCGTCTGCGATAAATGTCCGCGGGTTTACGTGTCAGAGTCCAGAAAGGGTGCGTGGCATGGTGATTCGAGAGCTCACCTTAGATGCCATTGACTGCCCTGCAGGCACTGTGTTGCATCCCTGGCCCACCCATTCATATCCATCTACATTGCCACCCCGCAGAACCACCACCATCATCACTACGACCACCTCTAGAACAACCCACTTCACCACCATTTCACCCACTGCTTTTTACCCCTCCTCAGCCAACCCCACTCCCCCAGTTCCACATTTCCCACCTGGTCCCCTACCTCCTTATGAAGACCCCTTAAAAATCTCCTTTCATGTTGTTAATTCAACCTGCATTGATGTGAGCTGGGAGTCTTACTTCACTGTGACTGCTTACAAAGTGACGTGGGTCAAAATGGGGCAGAGTTTGATGAGCGACATCCATCGGGAAAGAACAGTCCCAGGATACCAACGAAGACTTAGCCTGTCGAATTTGGAGCCCAGGTCTATCTACCGCATCTGCGTGTACGTCCTGGATACTCTTAACACTTACAGGCCAGGCGAGGATACTATCTGTTCTGAGGCTAAGACCAAATCCACATCCACAAACTCTGAATCCGAGCAGGCTGCCCAACAAGACAACACCTCCACACTCCTATTAGCTGGAGTGATTGGTGGGGCAGTGTTGGTGGTCTTGGTGACACTTCTGAGCGTGTTTTGCTGGCACATGCACAAGAAAAGCAGGTCATCGTCGTCCAAATGGAAATACAATCGCGGCAGGAGAAAAGATGACTACTGCGAGGCCGGCACCAAAAAGGATAACTCCATCCTGGAAATGACTGAAACAAGCTTTCAGATAGTGTCGCTAAACAATGAGCAGCTTTTAAAAGGGGACTTCAGAATTCAGCCCATCTACACACCTAATGGAGGCATTGGCCTCCGAGACTGTCACCTTAGTAACAATAGCATAGCTTATTGCAAGAGCAGTAACGTCCCCAGTGTGGACTTCTGCCACACATGATGCTTTTCAATGGATGCTACAACCATTTGTTCAAAGAAAATGTAGTTCAATATACTGTACAATATACGTATACATATACATATATATATATATATATATTTCCAGGTGCAGTCAACATGGTAATTTATACTGTGGGCAACTATGTGGAATTCTGCTATATTTTCTATTCTTAGTAAATATGAAATGGTTTTGTAATTTGTGAGGCTCAAAGTGGTTTCACTCAAAGACGCTGCATACATGTTGACGCCGTAGATGTTGGCTACCTGCTGCAAGTGCAGTCCACAGGTTTTGCCTCTCAACCACTTAAAGATCTTGAAAACATTGCTAACCACACAACCAAAACATGCCCTTTGTGCTGAAATACAGCTACCCCTTCACACAACAGTAGTTAAGTTAACAGTGGTCAGGAAACCAAAACACAGCTGATTAAGCTGCAGTAGAAGAAAAAAAAGAGCTGAGTTTTTATTTCTTTCTTTTTTTTTGAATTGAAGTGCACTTTCAAATGCAGCAGAGAGCATGGGCAGTCATTCAGGAAATGAGCTTTTGTGGAAATCACATTTGAAGGGAAAAGGACCACTCTTCAACACCCTGCAGTTCTCAGAAGGAGAGGCTGACATCCGTGATTGCGGTAGAGAGATGGGCCTAAGGGTTCCTCTGCAAGCATTTTCCAGGGCATGCTTATGTTTAATTTTACCCACCAGGGGGCAGCTTGTTTCAGTCCATTCAGATAATATTATCTCAAATTGGACAAAAACACTCTAGAATGTTATTTTTCTGACTTTTATGTGGATAGCTTTTGTGCTGGAGTCTTATTTTCAAGTAATTAGCAGCCCAAACATACAATTAGGTAATTGAATAGCTAAGCCCCTTAGGTAAATTATGAATATCCGGAGGGAGCTCTGTAATCTGCTTCATGTTTTCTTAAATTCTAAATTGTAATACATCAGAAACAATGAAAAACCAAGTCTGTATTTCCCTTTAATATACTTAAATTGCCCTTTCTGAACATGTTCTGTGATTTACAAATTAGGCCAGGGTATTACACAGAGCTCCACCCCTCTATCTATTTCTGTTCTCTCACATGAATGTGATCAGGAACATTATACAGTGACATCCCCATCATTGTCTAGGTTTTTCCTTTACGGACCAAAACCCCTTTTAATCATGCATCACATCAAGTGGGATGATGAATGAACGTTTAAACAAAAGTCTTCTTTTCATGGAGAAGAACTGGCACATGCCAGATTCTGCCTTTGAAAGAGTTTCTGATCCCTGCATGAGTGCAATTAGGACTATTTTTTAATGGCGCACCAGTTTTCCAGGACAGAGAGCCGAGTTTGGAATGCAGGCGCACTGTGGAGAAGTATTTATCATGCGCTGTTACTCGTAGACTTTAGTTGCTTTGACAAGATTGTACTTTGTGGGTCGAGTTCAAACCCCCACTACATAATCCCTGGTCTAAGAGGGGGGTAGGGTAGAAAAAAAATCAGAGGTTATTTTCGCTTGGCAGGAGGATTCTGGATTGGGGAGGGGACTTGTAGTTGGGGTGGGAGTCGTAATTGTTGGAGTTAACTATTCAACGCCCTCCAACTTGCCATTAATAGTAAGGCTCAATCCCAATTCACCCCAATTTCGCCCTACCCCTTGTTTTCGAGTGTACCCATTGGCCCTTAAAACAGAGTTACAATGGCCAAGGGGTTGAAATATTCCCCTACGAAATGGAACAACCCTTTATGAACCCGATACGTCATCAGTCGTCGGCGATGGCTCTGCCGTTACAGAGGTTTTATAGGATTTCTCCATGACAACGACTGACAATCAGCGCAGCTGCTCTTAACTTTGAATAAACATGATGATTATAACATCCCTTCCTTGAAATGTCTTTTCTGATCGGAAAGGTCATTTATTATACAATTTCTTAATTTAAATGACTATTATAAGAGTAAATAAAGTGCGCGGTGGATAACACAGTTTAATCCCAAGTCATCATATAACTGACGTCTTGGGACATCTTTTGATCATACGTCAACATCCGCCTTTTTAGGGTACCCTTAAACGTCGGTTAGTTGACGATCCCGGGCCGTCATACAACTGACGCTTTACCTTTAACGTCGGTTAGGTGACGGGGTAGGTTTAGGTCTGGGGTAGGGTTAGGATCTGATAACGTCATCTAACCGACGTTCAAGGGTACCCTAAAAAGGCGGATGTTGACGTATGGGCAAAAGACGTCCCAAGACGTCAGTTATATGACGTCTTGGGATGAGACTACGCTGTGGTGGAATCATCTGGCGCTAAATTTAAATGTTTAACCGCTTGCGAAGCCATCTTGCCGGTGATTTGCCTTGCATTCCGTGAACTTTCTCGTAGCCTCTGAAAAATCTCCGTTTCGAGGACTATGTAGCCCTACCCCTCGATCTCAACAGGAATCGGGACACCCTACCCCTAGACGTGAATGCGCAAAACGTTGAGTAGGGTAGGGCCAAGGGGTGAAATGGGATTGAGCCTAAGACTAGATCACGAGATACTTGTTTACATCCAAATTGCTTTTGGAATTACTCGAAATCGAACGGATGTGTGATTTCTGTGACTAACGGTTGGTGCTTGCACTGGTAAACTACCAACAACACACAAGGTTTGCCTCAGTGCGTGTTACAAACAAAATGCTCTCTAAAAGGAGGGGAAAAAAGGGCTACTGCACTTCTGTGGTCTTGAAATTGTTTCTCATTAGCATCCCAGCAGGCTGCTCCGACCACCCCGTCCCTACTTTCCTTGAGATCTGGAACATCCTAGGGCTCCATTTCTCATCTGAAGCCTTTTAACTGATGTGTACACCATTAACAATTCATTTCAAATCCTGTGGCCACCCGTAACTCTTTTTAACAGACTTCCTCCACACAAGTCCGGTGCGGTCGTCAGGCTCAGGTTCCCTGAGAGGAGGCGGTTGCAGTGGCACAGACCCAAATGAATCGCTGCAAAGTTAACCCGTTAGTGAGATAAATCGGTCTCAAGCCTCTCACCAACTTATTTTCGTAGAGAAAAAAAGTAAAGGCAGGCTAAGCAGAGGAAACTATTTGTGCCACTATCCAGTACATCATTCCCTCTACTGAAGACCTCAGGCCTAGTGGAGGGTTTTTTGCTGGGTCGTTACCAAAACCAGAAATGTTTCATACTAAATACGACACGGTTTTATCTATTGCCTTACTGTAACCCAGCAGTATGTCTTAATGTGGTTCAAATGAGGGATTTGACATCATTTATGCAGAGATCTGTGGATTACAGCGAGAGTTACACATTTTGAAGGCAAGGACTGAATGGAAAGCACACATTGTGAAGGGCAATTGCAAACTACACCCTGACAGACATCAATAGATGACATTGCTAACACGCCAAGCTCTATCCTCCAGACAAGAATGGTGTGTTATGATTCAGACTGAATCATTGCCTCACTCTTGTGGAGAACATTGTTCTTTATTTTCTATGGATGAGCTGAAAAATCACAGAAGTGGCCCTGTAGTCAAATGGATGTATTACACAAAAAGGACTTTGAGCAATGCCTTGCGTCCATAATTGGAACCAACAGTCAATCCGTCTCTTGAAAAAGCACATTGATTTGGTTTGGAATAATTACTCTAAATGACTGTGAGGTCAGTCTGAACAAAGCACTACCACACATGTGGCTGAATATATCTTTAATCTTTTTTGTGTCCCTTTCATTATTTTTTGACAGAATATATTTTGTATTATGTTTTGAAAGTTTTCACACGTGCAGTTCGGTAGATATCCACGATTAAACCGTATTTAATACAGACTTCAGCACATTGGTGGATATAGTGGTTTTACATTAGGATAAAGCAAATCTGATATTTGAATGAATTGATTACCAAGTGGCAGTTCATTCTAACAGCCAAGACTAGCTGAACAACAACCACAAAATGTCATGTGTTCTGGGTATTCTGTTCTTCATAATGAGGATGGGGAGCGGTTCTATGATTTTTGAAACAGTTTGTTTGAAAGATATCGGGATTTGTTTGGTCTTTAAGATGGGTTTTGCAAGTAGAATCCATTGGGAACCAAAGTAACTTTTGATTGCTATACGTACATTTAACTTCTTTTGTTTGTTTCCACTACTAAACTGTTGTTGTTGTCCCATGTATGTGCCTTGAATTGAACTTACAATGTAAAGTCCTTGAAACCTTTAAATGTTTTGCACAAGTTGTAAATAGAGAACCCAAGCTTTTTTTTTTCCTTTTTTTGGAAAATAAAGGAGCCATCAGAATTGACCACTGATTGTGTCCATTATAGCCAAATCTCACTTTTTTCATTTTTTGTTTCATGATGCATGATGCATTAATTAACACATTGCATTAATTAACACATCAAATATAGGTTAAGTTTCTCAAAGGATGAGGTACCTGAGCAAAGTGCATTTATATGTTACATGTGCATATTGAGTGCAGATATAAATGTAACAACATAAACCATGTATTTGTTTTCTGTTCCGATGCACTCAATACATATATTTATTTATTTATTTGCAAATGCAAAATATGTAAATGCCCCTTTGCAATTATATCTGATCAAAGTTTTGGGAAGCCAAAACCAGCCAGCAACTGTATGAGGTTTTGCACATCTTTTGAAATAACTCTCCAAAACATATTGTACACACAAGTGTTTACAAACCTTTTAAATGGCACTTCAACTATAAATATTGCATCTCATGTGTCACTCTCAAAATACGCACTTGAGTATTTGTTTTGTCTTTTTTTCCAGTACAAAAATCTTAACATTTTTAAATCAAGATACGTACATATACATGACGTTTACAACCATGACATATGGGGAAACAAAAAATGTTGTATATTATGGAAGCAAATTAACAATTCTTTCCTATGTTTTACTAATTTGTTCCCTCATTTTCAGTAAACTGTGCGAACAATATAATTTGGTTCCTCGTTTTACTAAATAGTGACCACATTATACTGTATATTACACATTATAATTTGTTCCCTTGTTTTTGTAAAATCAAAACAAAGGAATTAAGTTATTCTGTGGCTATTTAACCAACATTTAACTAAATATTCAATTACATTTTATTTTAAATGTAATTAAAATTTAATTTAATTAGTAATTTGTTATGATTCACTAAATGAAAGAACACAATATCCTTAAGAAGCAAAACTACTGAAGACATTAAGTCTTGTATACTGAAAAAAAAAAAAATAGCTTGTTTATGCCAGTGAGGTAAAAAAATAAATAAAAATAATAATATTGTTCAGTTTGCTTTTTTTTTTCTTACCCCATCGGGAGATGATTGTTCTTGTTTTTTTTAAGCAAAAACTCACTTAATTATTTTTCATAAAACATTTATTTTTAACAATTATTTTTTCTTGTCATTTAATTTTCTCCTCAAGTTTATATTTTGATTTAAGATCATTTTGATAGGTTTGCAGTGCACAAACTTGCTCTTGAACCTGGTTTATTTGCAATGAAACGCTCAGCTTCAAGGTTATGGTTAATCCATTGTCTCGAGAGCCGGAGATTAGCTGTGCTTCTCTTTTCCACAATAATTGTGAGAACATTTCACAGCCTTTAGTCGTAAAGGTGCGGACTGTCATCCTGAAAACCATGGCCTCATAAAATATGAATGTTGCTCTTTTAATGATTTGTACCAAGTGGCCTCTTACACTTCCCTTAAAAGATGTTCCTCCTGGAAGGGTGAACAAAAAGTCTCACACCTACACTTAGTTTCATTTTCACAACTATTTCAACATTTTCCTTGGAGTCCAATAGCAGCAAAGTCAGCAGACAGATGTCTGATTCTGACGGTTGCAAAAGACACTTCTCAGTTCCATATTTTCCTTGAAGCAAAAAAAAAAAAAAAAAAAGGAAAATTATGTTTCGACAAAACTATAGTCATCTCTTTTGCTTTTCATACCAAAAAGAAAAAAAAAAAAACGGTAATATTTTATTTGAAAAGAATTGTGAGGTGGTGTATTTTCTCTGAATTGATGCTGAGTCTCTCCTTATTCAGAGCTGAAGGCTAAACTGAGTCTTCCTGATCTCTGGGGTAATCTGCCAGGTTAGTGGTCCTTTGTCTGGCTGACTTTATTGATCAGGTTCGCAATTATTACGCAGAGCAGAAGCCACTATTGATCGTGCGTGATTATCCTGTTGAAGCCTTCCTAGGATGGTTTAGATGCAATTTTATCGGTACATGAAGAATGATGCCATGTTTTTAAATCTGTCTCATGATTCTGCTCAATAAATCGACATGAGCATATTTGCAGGAAATGAGTGAAATCAAACCCAGCTGAGCAACCTCAAATCCCAAAGAAGTTTTGTTCGAACCGTCTGGAGTTTATAGTTTCTTGACAAATATCTGGGTTGTGTTGCACATTAAAATGCAAAACCATAGTTTTACTTCTAGGCATGCCTGTTCTGTCATCTTTTTAACTTCCAAGTACGCTGCAGTGTTTGTGTCTGTTTTTACATTTTGTGACTGTATTCTGGTAGCAAAACAAGCTGATGCTGATATGCAGTTGTATTTCGTACAACCCGATAAACAAGCTTTGAGCAAGTTTCTCTCTTGCATAAACATTTTCTTTTCTCGTCCTTTTTTTGTACTTAACTTTCTTTTTTTCTTCTTCTATGAACTGAGACATTTATCATTTCTGCAATGGAATTAGCCATTTTTAGCAGGACTGTCTATGCTTGCCCAGAATTTCACATTGACGATTGTCAAGCTCAGATACACTCTCAGAAAAAAGGTACGAAAGCTGTCACTGGGGCTGTACCTTTTCAAAAAGGTACACTTTTGTCCATTTTAGGTACTTATTTGTACGTTTTAGGTGCTAATATATACATTTTATGTGCTAATATGTACATTTTATGTGCTAATATGTACATTTTATGTGCTAATATGTACATTTTTGGGGCTAATATGTACATTTTAGGTGTTAATATGTACATACATATCCATGTAATGGATTTTTTTTTTTTGTGAAACCTCGGTTTTATGAAGTGACGCAAGTGTTTTGT